CAATGCTGAAGTATGTCAATTGGCATTTGGAAGAAATAACTCACAATCGATAGATCAACTGATCACACTGCATAAGTTGTGCTGGCTTGGCCACGTGCTGCGTATACCGGTCGACCGTCTTCCTTGAATGGTCCTTTTCTCACCGCCTTGTGTAGGGTGGGAACTAGCTAGAGGCGGCAGCGAAGTATAAAAGCCATTACCAGCAAACTTAGCTGTCCTGGTCACTGCCGTCCTCTTGGATGGGAACCCCGGGACGGGCCGCATCAATGGTTGGAGACATTGTCAGACGTGGCCCAGTCGCGCCCTCAATGGTGCTCGTGCATCCAAGCTCTCACCTTTGATACATAACTCCCTTCCGAATCCTCATACTTGACAGTCTACTGACTGCTGTATTTACGCACGAATTTATCAGTCCCGCATCCAATTCGCAGCTATCTACCCCCCCCCTCCCCAAATCACCGGTGAACGAAACGATTGCAGCTACAACCACTGTACGATAAATAGGCGGTTCTTACAGCTGACAATGGTGATGATGATGAACCGTCGGAGGAATATTATCAATACCGATCTAGAACTGAACCGACTACAGAAGGGTGGTGTTCTCTGACTGACCGAATGTACGCCATGGTGCCTACGGATTACACTAGTGATGTGTGTATCATTTCATTCAGCCCGGATAGTGAGTGCTACTTCCATGCTATAGATACCATGCATTATAGCGTTTTCATCACTGGTACGCGAATGATGCAAGGTTAATTATATTGGCTCATCTTGAGTAGACCAATGTGCATTACCGAACTGGGGTCTTGTCTGTGTCTGCGGAAACGGAAAGCATATTTTTAAGAAGGGAACGTCATCACCAACATCATCATCATCATCACCAACGGCATGACATCAGTGTTCAACACTGATGCTTCGCTGCCATACAATCGTGATTTATTTGAAAGTCTTATTGTAAAGGAAAGAATGAGGGTACACAGGGGAGGAACGTATTGCCAGCTTGCTGACAACAAGAACGTCACTGACACCGATTAGCAGCTGTTCCTTGCAGCGTCTCCAACCAGGTGCAGTGGGGTTCACATGGTCCCCATTCTGGAGGTTGAGTAGCACTGACAGCAACCAAGCGTTTTGTAATCTCTCATGTCCCTCTGCTAGTTCAATGGGCAACCACCTCTCTTCTCCTTCTTCTCTGGATTGGGCGCGAAAAACAGCACTTTATTCGGCAAACGATGGTTTGGCGTACGCAATACATGGCATAACCGATGCAGCTTCTGGCACCGGACAAATTCCTCGATTTAAGGCCTGGTTGCACAACCGAAAACTTGCTACGGATTTGCCGAAACCAACGCAAACGAACGGGGCGAGTCGTTAGAACGCGAGTTTACTGACCAGATGGTCCGTTGCCTGAACTTGATTTTTGCATCACTTCTGTGTAGGCTTGGGCAATCTGGCAGTATCCCAGCCCTCACGCCTTCTTCGGGTGCCATGGCAGATAGGCACCGACAGGTGTTACTGCTGAATGATTACCTCTATAATGTCAACCCACACGAACTATAGTTCTAAGACAATGGCTGTCGAACAGTCGGAGGATTCTCCGCTCTGCAGCTCGAACAAGCAGTCTCACAAACACAACAAAACAGTTCATACTGTAGGCTGATATACACAACTTGAGATTCAGGGATTTACCACTTTGACGTCATAGTTGTCTCAAATTACCAAACTTGACCCGAGCCTTGCAGATTTGTGCATCGGCCTCAGCTGTCACACTACAGTGAGAACCAGTACAACTCCCAATATATGTAAAACGCTCCAAAGCTTCGGGTGTCCCCCTGGATTGTAAGCGGTATGTTCATTGATTGCATGTCCAGAATCATGAGCTCACACTTTCTTAGTATGCCAAAGGACGGGATGACTTTGGTCAGTTCATCCAAAAGCACCTGCGCTTTGTTCTTTCCGAAGACGAGAACGAGGTCGTTTGACAAAGTTTTCGTTAGAGGCTTTTTGAACGCTGGGGTTTGGAAGACCTTCCAGAGTTCGTCTCACTATCTCGTCGACCATGAAATTCAATAGGAATGGAGAGAGTGGGTAGTCCTGACGGACATCGTTTTATGTACGCAAGCTTTTGGAGAGCTCACTGTGCACTCAGATGCAGTTATGTGCCGGTAGGTGAACGATTTATTATCCCTTAACACACTATTAATTACATGCTGATTTCGCTTCCCGTCTAGTTTCAGTTGCTCCTATTGCGGCGTAACGGTCGTAAGACAGTTCCCGGCGCTACACTTATCCGCAGTGTTTGATTTACTGAAGTCACTAGACCGTGATGTGATCTGTTCAAAATGTCAGATCGAGCGACATTCCCTGTGGCTGGCGCAGTTTGCGCTACCAACCGCGTACCCCGAGATCGTTCAACGCAGTACATTGACCATTCGTCTGATGTGGCAGCCAGCATCAGTAATCTGTACGGAAACGAGCTGTTTAGTGATGTCACACTCGTTGTACAAGGAGTGCAGTTTACGGCACACAAAGTTGTTCTCGCTGCGCGGTCGGAATATTTCAGAGCTCTGCTGTATGGCGGCCTCGCGGAATCTAACAGATCCGTTATTCAATTAAACGACATTAATGCCGCAGCTTTTAAACATGTGCTGCAGTACATATACACCGGGCGTCTGACGGTTACGAAGTTGCGGGTAAGTGACTGTTGATGAACCTTTGATTCACGTATATTGTCCTCTCCTTAGGTGTGCGATTCTCTTGATCTCTTTCTACCCACGTAACCGTGGGTGCTTATTTCGGGGTTCCATTACTTTTCCCAGGTGCTTTTTCCCTTACGTGGGACCGTATTCTTCCAACCGCTTCACAACCTATTATCTGTCGCTAGTCTCTGAATAGCTGTGCAGTAGTCCAACAGTTAGCAGATCCTTATCAGCTGCTGCGCTCCCTGGAACTTGCAGGATCTTGCCAGCCAGACGTAAGTTGCTATCAGCCTTGTTACCGGCAGCACATTCCCCGACGGTCTCAAGAAGCTGCATCGAACAGGCTACCACACTTGCCCTTAATGATTGCACTATTTGTGTCCGGAACGATTAAAATCACCATTTTCGAAGCTAAATTACACCGGTAGGGATGTTTTCTGTCCTTTGGGTCATCTCTTGGCTTGTGAAGTCAATTAGGATAAAACTGTGTCGTGCGTAAAACCAGCCAGAATCCTGATTTGCTTGGGGCTGCTAATTGAACAGACTGTAGTCTGTTTCAGAGGGGTTTGGTAAACAATCGGTGGATTTATTGCCGGGCTTAGCTGGTAGCTGCCGATTCTTCCGCTAGATGTCTCGGGATGAGCTGTAGGCGGTTAGTGATATTGACGGAAATGATTTGATCAGTCATGATATAGTGATTCCGCTTCAGAGCCCTTGTTTTAGGCGTGCAACTCTTCGCATATCAACTTTGTCAGAGATGTGTTACAGTTCAAGTCGATGGACCAAATAAACGTGATATCCAGTTATTCGGCCAGGAATTCTGCCGAAGTCAGTTCCTTGTTTTAATAGCGGTAGTGCTGATGGCATAACCACGCTCACGATGCCGTCTGAATGTTTTCTGACCCACGGAACACGCGCTGAATGCTTTACTTTTAATTGAAGTTCTACTGACTACGTAGCTGAGGTGCACCAGCAAGTGTCACCAACTGCATGATCTGGGCGGATTGCAGGTTGAGCTGGCTGGTCAAATCTTCCGTAGTTCACAAAATCATAGACTGATTATATTCTATTTGTCCCCGTCATGCATCTACACGAGTAATAATAAATTATTTGGAGCAGACGTCCCTCACAAATGCGCAGCACTCAGTCTATGGGATGTGGACAGCTCGTTCATCGTGGTTTAGTTGCGTCTTTTGAAAACCATCTGGCCTACCTAGGGACTGCTTAACTGGCGTTATTTTCAACCCCGGGCAAAGATTTAGAAATGCCGGTTGATGAACGTTCAAACTCTTCATTCATCTTCTACGCGCAGACTCACTTCTCTGATCCATACTGTAGGGTGGATCTGACTGCTGCAGGGTAAATTCTTTTGACAGATAAACTGAAGCCACGCCGGTCCAGTAGGCGTCGGAGATCAAACAGAGCTTCCATTACTTCCCCATTCCGGAAAGTGATGTAGTCTCCTTGATGAGTGGATTTGGCTGGTCGGAAAGCATGAGTTTAGCTTCGACTCCATTCATTTCTACAGTGTCGCTTTGCACTTTGCACGTGTGAAACACATACCAGACCATATGGCAGTCATCTAAGTCATCGAACATAATTTACACTTTCGAGGATCTGATGCAAGACGCATAATATCACCCCTATATTCCTTGTCTGTGTGCAAACTCCCCGGATTTTTTTCGTCCTAGAGGCGTCTGACGCAGGAAGTGAAGCGTTATCATATGATTACTTTTCAGCCATAGTTGCCTGTCACCCGGATCATTGCACTATGGTGGTTGAACTATTCCTTTTTTATCCTTACCCAAACAACCAGTCGGACAGCAGTCTGTCACTAATGCGCATCACAACCGATATGCTTCGTTGATCTCAGTGGATTGATGCAAATGTTTATCTCGGAATCTCTCCTACCTATTAGAGATATCCACGCGATACTTACCTGACTGCCTTGGTTTTAGTGAGATTGGATCACAGTTAGGTATTGGTAGCCACCGATAGAACCTCTTCGGTGTAATGTTTCTGAATGGCCAACTTAAGGCCCAGCTGTTTTGAGTGTCTCCGAACGATCGCACCACATGACCGGTATGCTAACCGTTGCTTTTTTGGCCAATGCGAAGTTCAAGGTTACATTCGGAATGTAAGAATATAGCTATCCCCATAAGAATAAAAACCACGGAAAAACTAAGTATTAAGCTTCTCCTAATGTTGGGGTTTTTTGGTGTCAACCCAGAAGTCTTCAATTTTTCATAGGCTGTCCAATAAAGAGGTTCCTTTTCTGGAGGATTATTTTACTGTACTGTCAGTTCCTGTCAAAGAGTTGCTAGTCCAGAGCTTTGAAGTCGATACTCTGTAAAATTTTATCAGTCTGTTTTCTGGTTTGGTTGTAGTACAGCTGTACGCAATTGTGAACAAACAAGATGTGTGGATTACTCTCACCACGCACTCCTAGACGTAAGACATTTATGGCCCTGTGATGAGTTCCATATCATGAACCATTCCGTGAAGCGAGCATGGATACGATTTTCGCAGGTTGTCTTAATTCCTCCTCTTGTTCGTGGAAATTTCAAGTACATCCGAACCGCTGAGTTTGGAAGTCACTTGTGAGTTTTAGCTATCGGAATCGAGCCCTATGTTCGTGTAATTTCTCGTGTCTCTCAGTTTGCGTTTTTTTCGGAAATGGAAGTCTCAGAACTTGAAGCTACTTGTCGTTTCTGTTACTGTTGGTAGTGAATTCTCCTCTCTCTTTTAGGGTATCCTTTTCGACGTAGCTTTCGGATCATTAGAATAACCACCGAGTTATAGATTTAATTTCTTTATTAAACATCGACATACGATCCGTGTGTTGCCTTGTTATTACTCTCTGTCAGCTCAACATTCTTGAGTGGTCGGATAGAGTTATCCACTAGTTTCAGGCAACCAGAAAGTAAACAGTTGCACTATTTGATTTCTGGATGGGATTCCTTCTTCTGGAGCCTGTGTCAGTCTTTCAGCAGGTCCTTTTTACGTTTTTTAGCTAGGGCACTCAACGTTTAAATTGAGTGTTGGAAAAAATTGTTCAGCTGTAGCACCCTTTCGGTGCCTAGCTGTCATTTTAGATGTACCCATAAGGCTGGCGAAAACTGTTCACGACTGGTCTCTCCCTTCTCAGGACCCATCAGATAGATAGAAGATAATAATAAGACAAACATTCAGCTGTAACATCCTTTCGGTGCCTAGCTGCCATGCCACCCAAAGGGAGCACGAGGGCTAGGATAGTGCCAGGTTGCCCAAGCCTAGACAGGGGAAGCCGAGAGACAGAGGTCGGTTTCGAACCACGGACCATCCGGTCAGTAAATCCGCGCTCTAACAACTTGGTCCATCTCGCCCCCAGTGTTGGACAAATGTAACGATTCCCTATTGAAGGCTAGGGACACCTTAATGTCAAAACATACCAGATGAAGGCTACCTTCATCTTCACAGTACATACCATTCGGAAGGGAATTCTCTCTAGAAGACTCATGATGAGCGTTTCCCGTTCTCATCTGAGAGGTAGGCAAAACACTCCTTTCTCGTGACTACATCATGCCGCCATCCAGAGTATTTTTCTCAGCCGCCGCTTGGAAGTCCTTTGCAACTGGCCTTAAAATCTATCAACCGCAGGTCAGCTGTATTTAAACCCTAGCTTTCTTGCGTAAACCCGTGATGTTGTTTTGCACTGCCTTGTGATTTCTTGTCCTTTCCACCTTATAGACCATGCTGGACGTGTTGGGTTTGGCGCACCAGTACGATTTTCGTAGTCTGGAAAGTGCCCTATCTGCTCACCTGACGCATTCATTGCGCCTGTCCAATGTATGGCTAATCTACAATCTGGCTGTGATGTACGGTTTGGAAGAGCTTATCAACGCTTGCCTGAAGTTTCTGGACGGTATTGCACCAGCTCCGTTGTTTAGCCCTCATTTCCTTCGTCTTTCCCAGGTAATTGTCTTTCTTGTGCTTGTTCCTTCGGTTTCAACGATCAGTGTTCGGATGGTAACACCAACCGAATACTAATGTCTGTCTGCAGTGCCCTTCTGGGAGGAATACCTGTGAATTGGGGCCACTCCTCAGGAGAGTTTTCCGTCAGTTACTCTCTGGAGGAGATCCTTGATATCTCATCGATTTCTACGGTTGACTTGTCTACTTCAATTTTAGAATTGTTTTAAGACAAGATTGATTTTCACATAGACCGCGAAATTGTACAACTGACATCTTTTTAAACGTTTTCGTCCCAACCACAGCTCCAATAGTGGCGTCATTTTATTTATGTTCAGTGCGGAACATAGGACAGTGGCACCGAATACCGGGGTCCTTCCATATTCTAAGTTTACTCCCAATCACGCTGCCACTATGTGAGATTTCGTACACCTTTCAAGTAACTGATTTGGATTTCCAGAACAGCATGACATCTTAGCTGTGCCACTCTCTGATGTAACTTTTGGGTTACTGATGTTGCTTATGCTCTTCTCAAAGCCGCATAGTTGGCATGTGTCCCATGCACCTTCATAACAAAAGACGACGCTGCTCTCGTGTGACGTTTTTGCCTCCATGATACACTCAGGTGTATTGGAGTCTGTCTTTACGACACCACAGTTCATGTCAGGTTAAAAATTTAACTGACTCACTATCCTAGTCATCTACTTTGGGGGTTAGAACGTGTGTTATGCCCTAAACTGCTGGTCAAACAGTCATCCTTGTGTTGGGCTTCTGATCCGAAGACTTTTGTTGAGGACTCTAACCGTCTTTCTATCTTGATCATGGCGCTCTGAAAATACCAAATTTTGCATACAGCCATGGTTCACACAACCAGATTAATCTCACGTCACATCGGCTTTCGTGTAGTGTCATCAGCTGAGTCACCTTGCTGCATACAACAGGGTGGGTAGACCTAAATATGCTACCGCTGACGCATCCTTTTTCTCCTTTATCCTGTTAATAGGATTATCCTTTTAGGCCCATCCGTTAGGACTGATGACCGTATTTGTTTATGAATGAACCCTAGGTGCGTTAGCCTAAAACATCTTAAAGTCAATCCTCCAACCGCCTCGCCTGGTATCTATCTCCCTTCAAATTTCACGCTCCGAAACAAGCGATGGGACAGGCTGCACTTTCGCGCACACCGATCCTGCACATTATTCAATATGACCGAAATACTTTTAAAATCAGAGTCTTGTACCGCTCAAAAGGCATCTTCTGTGCACAGCCGCATCAAGAGTGAGACAATAATGCCTTACTCCCTGCACCCTCGCGTCGGGCCAACCCCCCACAGCCGAGCTCGAACCATTGAGTCCTCGGCTCCGGGAAGGGTCCCCAAAGAAAAACCCTACTGCCCACTGGCTCGCGGGTCAAACTTTTGAGTCAGAGGCTAGGGGCTAGGTCCCCGATATTCTCCCACTGTTTCGTGGATCAGACTTTTGAATCAAGGGCTCTCGGTGGGGTGCCAAAATCAAACTCCCTTCCTTGGCTTGAGTAGTATCATTTGCCCGCACAGTTCTGTGTCCACCGATGTCCCTTCGTAATCCTTTCCCGCCACATAAGCGGACGTTGCTGGGTCATTTGACTGTCAGTTCTCTGACCGGAGGGCTTTATGCTCATCGCTGCCTATTAACAATAAGCAAATTAACCCTTCTAAATCCATGAGATCCTTCCTTTATAGGAGCGTAAGCTATTGGCAAACAGGTGATGCTAGCTGAAACCTTATACCCCCTCAAAATTGATGAATGCTGTTTCTCTGAAGCACGCATACAAGACGAAAGCATGTTTATTCTTAAAACGCCATGGACGAACGCGCTTTGCTGGATTGAACCCCAATGAACAGTCGTATCTGCGTCGTCCGGTTATCCAGCTCAATTCAGCTCAATGCTTCTCGACATAAAAGCGGTGCTTGTTTGTTTTGTTGGCTTATGTAGCTCTGATGCTGAGAAGGATACTTCTTACGTCTGGTTATCTAGCCTCATTCTTCGAACAAGAAGCATTCAAAAGTGAAATAGTGAAGGAAAGACATCGGACATCGGAAACTCTGGAAACGGAAAATGCTTTTGATGCCGGAACAACCGTGCCGTTTATCAACTGATACGATGGATGCCCTAGGAAAGCAGCGTCCGGTAAAACGGAAAGTGAAAAAGACGGCTCATTAATTCACTCGCAAAATCTTTGACTGGAGTGATTGGCCGAACACTCCGAAGAGCACATTAGCCTATTCAGTTGGTGCATACGGGCGAATGGAATGTAAACCTTAGTCTTCCGTCAAAAGAAGAAACAAAGTACAAAATATCGGTACCGAAACGTGAGAAGCGTCAGGACCGGAAGGTTTTTATCCACCCCTGTTCAAAGAAGGCAGAGAATTCCTCATGGTCCATGTAAGAAAACTCATTGATGCGATATGGAGTGAAGAGAATGTGCCTACAGAATGGAACATATCGACGATTATTCCTGTCTTCAAAAAGAGTACATGGACACTGTGTGGAAACCACTGTGGCGTCATTCGGGTAGCTGTGGCACCGAGGATTCTTTCTGGTCTCCTACCAGATGCGTGAAAACCAAGCTGGGTTCAGTCCTGCTGGAATAGCGACATTCCTCCATGAGACCAACAATGGTTGTCTCCCTTGACTTTAAAGATGCATTTGACTCCGTGGGTGGTCATACACTATGGCAATGTCGGTGGAGCAAAGGTGTTCCCCATAAATCCTTGACCCTCCTCTTGGGCGCTGTACATCAACTCCCGCAGATGCGTCTGTCTTTGGGAAGGTTTCGCCTGAGCTTGCCACTTCAAGTGGTTTCAGGAAAGGCTATCCTCTTTTACCTTTCTTATACATCTTCGTCACTGATACTCTGATGGAAGACTTACTACCAGCCTCTAATGTCTATACGGTCGAAGTGATCCAGGGGCGTTCACTCATAGACATCGAATGCGCAGACTACATAGCTCTTTTTGGATCTGAAATCGTGGCGGTGAAACCGCTCAGTGGTTAGAGCTTGAATTTACTGACCGGAAGGTTCGTGGTTCGAACTCGACCTCTGCCTCTCGACTTCCCCTGTCTAGGCTTGGGCAACCTGGAAGTATACCAGCCCTCGTGCTTCCTTCCGGTGGCATGGAAGTTATGCACCGAGAGGGTCTTGCAGCTGAAGGATTCTTTACGTGGTGATGCAAACAATATTAAATAATCTAAATAATGCTAATTAACGGTTTGGCATTCGCTGCAAGAATGTGGGCTCTCACCCTAACCTCGTGCTTGCCGATAAGCCGATTGATGTAGTAGACAAATTTGTCTACTTGGACAGCTGTCCTTCGTGGTGGTCTAGCCAAGGACACGATTTCCATTCTGACTGAGAAGGTCAGAGCAACTTTCGTGAACCTGCATCGCCTGTCCTTCGTGTTGGTCTAGCCAAGGGCACGATTTCCATTCCGACTGAGAAGGCCAGAGCAACTTTCGTGAACCTGCATCGCCTGTGGTGTTGGCGTGACATCAGCCAATCAGTCAGTGTTCGAGTTTACAATGCTGCGGTGCGTTCCGTATTACTATTATATTACTATTACTAGTATGGGGGCGAGACGGCGCGAATTTACTGACCGGAAGTTTCGTGGTTTGAACCCGACCTCTGCCTCTCGACTTCTCCTGTCTATGCTTGGGCAACCTGGCAGTTTCCCAGCCCTCGTGCAACCTACGAGTGGCATGGCTATTTGGCACCGAAAGGGTGCTACAGCTGGATGGTTTTTATTTTTATTACTATTATATTACTACCCTCGGTTCAGAGGACGTCCAAAGACTTTCCATTCATGACCATCGTCGTTTCCGGAGCGTTTTCTGAGTTTGGTGGGAACACGGGATCAATAGTGCTGAAGTATGTTGAATAGTTCTCGGAAGAAATAACTCGTCAACGGTAGATGAACTAATCAAAGTGCATGCGTTGCTCTGGCCTAGTCACGTGTCCTTTATGCCAGTCGACCGACTTCCTCGAAGGGTTCCTTTCACACAGCCAAATGAAGGGTGGAAACGAGCTAGGAGAGGTCAAACAACGACTTGGCAGGAAAGTATGAAAGCCATCCCCATTACCAGCAAACTCACTTTCCCGTTTCGTTGCCGTCTCCAAGGGTGCGAACCCGTAGACGTTTAGATAAATGGTCAGACATGGCCCAGTCGAGCCCTTGATGGCACTCACGTATCCAAACAGTTGCTTTCAGTACGGAGCTCCCCTCTCAATCTCCCCAATTAAAAGTCCACTGACAACCCTGTATATGTGCATCTATTATGTCGGCCACTGTCTCAAATGCGCAGCTGTCTATCCACCTTCCCAAATCATCGGTGAACGAAACTGCGGCAGCCAGAACCACTGAACGGTAAGCACGCGGTTCTCGCAGCTGATGATGATAATTGTGATGGGGATGATGATTATGCACTCGGGCTCATGTGAGTTTGGTCCATGTTGTACATTGGATTCAGGAATTCCGGATACTAGTATGATCGTTGAGCTAACCTGTTCATCGTTGTCCAGTCGCTTCGGGGGATCTATAGACCGCTGCGATAGGATGTGCAAGACCTGTATCGTTCTTAACCACAGATCACTTCTGATAGCCACCTTTAGAAGGTTTCTTTTAGCGGTGTCTGACGAAGGCTGTCACGGAAGAGAATTTGATCGCTGTCTGCTCAACTCGCCTGCTCACTATTCAACAGGCTAAAGTACTGCCACCATTAAATACAGTTTTTGTGATACTGAGTGTCCTGTTGCGACGGACTAAGAGCTCAGATATTTCTTTGTGTGTACATGTGCGCTGATTTAGCGGAGGTGGGATTCAGTTCAGCTAGATTGGAATGGGTACGTACGCCAAACGGATGCTTCGGCTATCTGCTGACCGCAAAGTGTTTCCATGCGTTACTACCTTAATAACGGGAGTAGCCTGGCTACGTGGCGCTCCTCAAGAGCGTATCAGCTGCACACCGATCGCATACATGCGCTTTTCATCTACAGAATGTACACGCAATCACTAAGCACGCCACTTGCAATCCTTGCATAGCTCCTTGAATTTGTGGAGCGTCTTATATGTGTTGGAGGTTTTTATGCTTCAAATAAATTGTGACAGTTAAGAACAGTCCATTATTGTCTAATGTGTATATCAGACGCGATAATTCAGGTGCGTCCAGAACGCACCAGTGGGGTAGTGGTAACACTCACCCCGTTTGTCAGATATGCGGATTTCACACCCCGACACGACCAGGCTTATACTCTGCTGGTGAGCTCTGACAAGAACGAAACTCGGTTCCATTCCTCCCCCCTGTGGTGTTCACTTACCGGAATGGTTGTGTCAGGACAGGACTGTTCAAAGTAAAGTGATGTGACTTCTACGAATCCAGCAACAAACCACGTCCAGTCTTCAAGGCTCGAATCACGCTTTTTACTTCAAGGCTTTCTAGTGACAAGGCTGCTCGGCTATAGCGCGGGCTGTTTTGTTGGCAGACGTGGCATGTACGGGCAATGGAACTGACCCGCACTCTGGTCTCCCGTATGTTTTTCCTCAACTGTAGTTCATAAACTGGTGTCAACGGACCTTAAGCGCGTCACTTAGACAATGAGTATTCGGACGTGCCGTGGGGACTTCAATCGGAGAATGTACCAAGCACCGAGAGCATCGGTGTTCTGGCGATCTGTTGTGCATGCCGACATCAGTGTTGTTTCTCCTGCCAAATTCAAAGAGGCGCAAGCAGAGAGGTAGTGAGTCTTAGACTTGCCAGAAGCGATGTAGGCAATCACGAGAGGTCTGAATACAGTCGGTACAACTCGTCTTCCAAGATGGAGTCCGCGTGATCTTTGTGTATTACTGAAGATGCTGCAAGTGCTGGCTCCCAATCGACGTCAATAGCGTTTTCATCAGTTTTTATCCAGATTGCCTGATCGAGTGTCTGATGTGACAAACCACAAAAATGGAAACTTTTCCCACAAATCGTAAATTGCTCCCAAGTGAATTCATTTGGTTTATGTGCCTCAGTCTTCGGAAGACCCATTCGATTCTGTGAAACTACTTGGGGCCATAGTAGTCCAAGAGTTGCCGTCGCTTCGACTGATATAAAGTATACCGAAACCCATCTGGTGGATCAATCTGATGAGTTTCCCCAATGTCTGTCCAGCATTGCTCTACATTTGTTGAAACTTAGTCAGTACTGTTGACGATACTGTCATGTAAATGGGCAACTGTACGAACAGCTACCGAATCACTTAAGAATGCGTGGCATAACATGGAGTTATTAGACGCACGTGGTCATTCGAAAGAGCGTAACTGGGTTGTGCAAGAATAATCTGTCTTATGAATAGTCCTAACCGCTGAAGATTTTGACTTCCTTTAGTTCATGGTTAATCGTTCACCCTTCTCCTGTGGTGGTGAACTTTTGTGAATTTGCTCCCAACTAAACTTCAAACAGTCACTGTGGTTAAATTGTATTTAGGTCATTCGTCGTAGCATGTCAGTATTTGATCTCATTTCACTTTGTAGATGTTTGCAGGTTTAGTGGTTTTGATCCCCTGACATAAACCGGTAAGGCAATAGGTTTCTTGGCTTTGTGCGCGCGAAGAAATGTAGCTAGAAGTTGGACTGCTCGAGGGCCTCAAGTGTTATTCTCAACGTTCCGCGTTCCTACTGAATAAGGGATAAAGGCTATTCACTTGGATCGTACTTATTCTCATATGTCACGAGCTTGGTTTTTCCTCAGTAATGATCCATTGTTTTGAGTGTTTGAAGAAAGGTTGCTTGTCTGCTAGACAATTTTTCATCCTCAGCACACATCGATGTTTATAGCTGAACTAAGCTTTTGATGGCCTTGTATGTAAGATGTCATTCTTTCACGTGGCTACTCTCAATTATTCATGGCTTTCGGTCTGTTCACATGACTGACTAATTTCGGTAGTTTGTCAGATACACTGTCAGTTGCACTGTATACTGAAAATTCACGCATTTAGCGACGCTCTCCCGTTCACGTCTTTAGAGTGGTCTTTGCTTTGGAAATACGAGATTCCACTGGAACACATCGCTTTACACTTTTGGGAAGTGTTTGTGTAGGTAGTAACGGATGAATACTTTGCAGCATATTAGCGCAGCGTTGTCCACTTTTACTTGTCCTAGAGAAGGCTCTAATGGGACCCCGTTAGCTCTCATGTTGCATGAATTTCGCCTCTTTTCACTGATGTGATGACTCTCAGGACTAAGGAATTTGACAGCGCGCCAGTGGCGCGTACAGTGGGGTGGTGGTTGCCACTGCCGCAGTTTTCCATCACACGAAGTGTCACGGTTTGGTGTCTGCTGACCAGATCTTTGTCGCCAGCTTTCACTTTCAGTTTGCATATAGCTTCTCATAGGGTCAAGGTTGTGGGTTTCAGTCCCGACACGCGTACCTAACTTATCTGTCGCCTTCAAAAATTAGATACTCGTGTTTCCTTTGCAGAAGGTATTCGCTTGTCGTTTACAACATATCACCTCCGTTCTTTACAGTGTACATCCTATGAGAATAGAATCTTCATATCAAGTAATAAGGAACATTATCCTCAGGAATGAATCTTGTACTTCACCTGTAAATGAAGGCTGTATTTGATTGCTCTCATTCGCATGTTTGTCTTACATGTGGGTGGAAATCAGATGACGCTAGTCGGTCGTTGAGTTAACCAACTCATGACTTGATTGTTTTTCCAACGCATGGGATTCGCTAATCTATTCATGCGGTGCTAGCTCAGGATGTTCTCCTAATTAACTCTACTGACCCATTTATGCGAATTCCTATGGAGGACGTAATTTCAGCTCATCTACACTTCTTCCCACAGCACTACCGATTTGGATAGCTCAGTGATTAGAGCGCGAATTTACTGACCGGAAGGTCCGTGGTTCGAACCCGACCTCTGCGTTTTAACTTCCCCTGCGTAGGCTTGAAAAACGTGGCAGTATACTAGCCCTCATGCTTCCTTTGGGTGGTATGGCAGGCACCGAAGGGGTGCTGCTACAGCTGAACGTTTTTTGTACTGTCGAACCATTGAGTTGCTTTTTTCTTATAACTGCTGATTTGTGTCCGTCTCTCTCCCATAAAGTTAATGTATAATTTTGCCTTTCCATGTGGCGTCCACCTGCTGCCTTCAGCCTGCTGTCGAACGTCTTCTCTCGCGAGATAGCTTTTGTGCTTCGGAAATCGATATCTTCCGAAGTCTTTGTGCCTGGTTTCGGACTACAAAAGAATCAAGTACACGCTCCGGTTCGTACCTACCACCCATAGCAGACCATATTCAGGATAATGTGTGTAAAAGTGGTATCTCATCAGAGACAGGCTCTGAAACTTTGGCTCTCGTCAGAGAAAAGTCTGGAAGCACAGGTGAGAGATTTATCGCTGTTCCTCCGCTTATCTTGTATCTGTGACTTCTTGGGCGCATCTTTGTTGTAATTCATCCGTTTGTTTCATAGAGACGTGTATATGCATGTTTTTTTCAACACATGGCGCTCAGTATTCGCACAATGGAATTGAATTTTCGAAAGCCACGACGTGTCTCTGATGGACTAAAAGAGACAAACAATTGAGTTCAGAGTAAGAGTCCAAATTTTTGAGCCCCATCTAGGCATCCAAGGTTCTCAGAGGTGTTAGGAAAGTATTCCACCAGACGTTTTCTGTCAGCGTTTGCTTCAGCGGGCAATAAAATTAGGTGAGCTGCAAAAGTAGGAACGTAGATTAGGATGGTTTTTGGTTTGAGCACATGCACAACAAAGTGCAATTTTCGGCGTAAATAGTTTGATTTCACTGGTAAAGTTTCGCAGATAAGACCATTGTGCGGCCGATGCGCGCAAAAGTAGTAGATTAGGATGGTTTTTGGTTTGAGCACATGCACAACAAAGTGCAATTTTCGGCGTAAATAGTTTGATTTCACTGGTAAAGTTTCGCAGATAAGACCATTGTGCGGCCGATGCGCCCCTCAACTCGCTCACTTGTGTGTTTGCTACTCGCAGTAGTGGCTTGTGGACCTTGATCCATTTATTTCATCGGTGTTGTTTTATCGCACTATGTAGCCTCTGGTCGCTAACTGATTGAAAACCAGACCTGTATTTCAAGCATTTACTCTACGTTTCCATGATTCATCAATCGTCCAAAAAATTGTCCGTCGTCGGTATAACAGCTTGTTACTTCTGATCAATTTATGGTGACTGTTGATATTCTGTACTCTCTGCTCCCAATTAGTGAATCGATAAACCCGCCTGATGTCACAGGTGTAGCTTTTGAGCTCTGATGAAAGTATGTACAAGAGATCTCATAACCTGAAATCGACCTAATTTAATTGTAGTGGTGTGTAACTGTCTCGCTGACCTATTACTACCTTCTGATCTTACGATTGCTCGTCGAGATAAAACTCGGTAAAAGTTTTTGACGCATCAAAGTGGGTGGATTCATATCCCAACGAACTATAAGGGACGCTACTAGAGAAAGGGTGTCCATAACAAGCAGTGTAGATTTACGGTCCGGCCACTCTACCGGTTAACTATTCCTGACATCATTTTTGTGGTAAATGTCTTTGTTCACAATCCATGGCTCAACTTTTTGTTCCGACATTCCATTTTTCTTACGGAAGGCAAAAAAGTGTGAAACACGTTTGTGAGCACCATTAGGAACATGATGGCGCAAAAGATACCACGAAGCAACATACACATTGGGCTACTTTAGCTTTCGTTGTTGTATAGCAAGTCGCACTGAACCCAAAGAGATAGCTACTTTGCAGCTTTTTTCACAGACGGATTTCGAAAGGTCCCCACAATTTTTCCCATTTCGAATAAGCTCGCCTCAATTTTCGACGGGTGGATCCATGCTTAAAGATCTGATCTTTCGGGTATTCTCTTATCTGTGATCGGAAGCACCCCCCTATTTGGATGTACACTCGCAGTCAAAAATGGTCGTATTGGTGCAGTTGAGCTGCAGTTTGCAGCATCAAAAACGGATGAAACCATCAACGAATTATCCTGCTTTTTATGTTTAGACGAGAGTACTTGGCCTATGTGCAGTTCACATGAGAACCCCCACATCCAACTTCACGTGATTCTAACCACCTGGGCTGCTTTCTGAGTGGTAAGTAACATGAAGTTCCGCCTACTTGTTTCGGTATTCAGTGGAGTGACTATTTCAACCGGAGATGAGTGAATCTGAGTACTTAATGATTTACCGGACTTTTCTCGAGGAGACGTTAGTTTTTGTTGCGCCTCCAAAGTGAACAGCACATAGACCAATCAGGAGCTAATTGTTCAAACTGACTTTTCTACTGTTTCGAAAATACCTACTCCACACAATTTATCGGAATAAGTCGCGTGAACCGCTCGCATGGAAATGAGCCGTGCGCCTCCACAGGGATTTGATCGTCTAATTTGATCTGCTGTCCCCTCTCCCCTCAAACCTACGACCTTGTCAAGTCAAGAAAACTCATGAAACTTGGGAAATACCAACCCAACCAACTGCTCAACTGAGATTGTATCGTGTCAACACACCAAAAAAATCTGATGTAAAAGCAAAGCATTTCATTATGTGGAGCATACTACTCTTGAGGTCGCTGTAAACTCTACAGCCCACGAACCGATTTCGCCCTTTTAGGGATTCATCAGGTAGGCGCGGTGTTTCTGTGTACCTTATTGATCCGCGTTGTGGAATGTGAAAGCCATATTCTCCGGTCCTTCGAGCGTTGGTACATGTTGAGCTGCTAAATTGAGTTGGTGAAGCACCTCAGACATCTGCAGACATCGACTTTTCACCCATATCATANTATATATATATATATATAATTGTATACAACAGCCCGTCTTGGCAACATTTCCTGCGCTTGTACACAAGATGGAGTATTAGCGATTTCACGTATGGCAACGTGAACTTGTTCTACGCCGCCTTGTTACGGTAATTAGTTGCGCGTTGAACCAGCACGATGTGAAGCGCACATTATCATGAATAGGATCGTTGGGAAGGAACTGTGCGGTGTTGGGGAGCACGAGCTCACTGGTATGGAAAAGTTGCAGAAAACCTGCAAAGAAGTGGACAAATAATACAAGCGATCAGGTACATGTTCAAGTCCTGCTTTTTTTTGCGCAACCTAATGGTGAACGGCTCATGGGTACACTTTGGTGAGCAGTGCAATTTTCCACCAATGCATAACTAAATGGACCCACTGTGTGACTTATCACAGTCTTTTTGTGCGTGGCACTCCGCCGGCCAATCATCTATCTTGCTTCGTTCATTGCGGCAGCTTCGGCTCGGCCGAAATCACATGGACTTTGCTCAATAGAGCTTATCGCGATGGCTGAATACTGTTACTTTATTTTGCGAATGGAAGTGAAAGTGCGAAAGAAATAATCCTTAGCGTTAAATCTTCCGCCAATGGAGACGGAGAATCTACGAGTATAGCTGGTCACAGTCTTTAAGCCCCAGTAGCCAGGAGCTTCAATTATCACACCAGCAGAGCGAAGAGCGTTAAACACCCTAATGTAGGTGGACATGATAATTACAAAGGCGGATAAGGTATGACCACCGTTGTCATGAACAAGAGCAATTATCTGCAGAAGGTCAAGCAACACCTAACTGCGGGTCCTTATCGACAGATCGATAATTTGAATATTACATGTGTAATGAATAGGGATAAAGCCGACGTTGGCAGATATTTGCGGTCCTTGATAGACCACTTAGGGCAAGGTAATTGATATCGATTGCACCCCAAAAGAGCAATCCAACCACGGCTTAATGACTATCAAAAACTCGTAACCCAGATGTCTCGGTGAGACTGCAAGAGTTAGCCAGATTCTTGGCAGATATTTTAACACCCCTTATCGGGAGATCCAAGACGTACAAAGTAGCAGGCGTCACCGTTGAACCAGATGACATCCTTGTAAGTCTCTATGTCAATTCTTTATATACAAATGTGCCAAAAGGGGACTCTTTAGAAATAGCCAGAATGGACACAGCTTACGGCAGATGAAATAGTGGAAGGTATAAAAGCATGCCTGAATCTCACCCACCTCGCTTTTGACTCAGTGGTTTACATTCAAGAACAAGGTTTAGCAATGGGCTCTCCAATATCCCCGTTTTCGGTAAATATATTTATGGATGAATTAGCCTGAATCTCCCTCGCTTTTGACTCAGTGGTTTACATTCAAGAACAAGGTTTAGCAATGGGCTCTCCAATATCCCCGTTTTCGGTAAATATATTTATGGATGAATTAGAACAGAAAGCTTTAGCCGGATATTCTGGCGTTGTTTAAATGACAATTTTGTCGTGATGAAACGAGATAAGGTTAGTCATTTCTACAACTGTCTGAATGAATTGAGTCCACAGATCAAATTTGGTATGAAGTCTGAGTCAACCTCATGTACACTGACCATCTTAGACTGACACATAAGGTGGGGGAAAAACTAAACGCCAGCATGCGAAAAGCCAACGTAAACTGGGGCAATTTAGAACTACTTGTTTGTCCATTCGAAGTCGGCTTTCGCCAGTATTTTCTCGTCAATGTTTAGGCCTGTAAGGGCCCTGTGCACGTAAGAAGTTGATCGGACAGCGGCCCAAATTAAATTGAAGAACAAACTCCGGGGTGGTGGATATCCAGCTAGCTTGATTAGGCGTCAGTTGCGAAAGGTGTTGGTACCGGTGAAAGGAAGATTTACCGTAAAACATACTACTCACATGCCCCATCATTAGTATCCACCGTTACGCCGGTAGCAAAACCCAGCAGGAAGTGATTCGGATTGATGTTATTCCGTATAAACCAGAGACGGAGATCGTTCGGAGGTTCTAGACGCGGCCAACGCAAGAGTAGCTTTCCAGAGGGGGAACACTCTGCGCTCTGCACTGGCGCAATTGAAGGATCGCCCCCCGGCAAACAGAACTAGGGATTGTGTCTATAGTATCAACTGTAACGAATACACTTAGGTGTATATAGAACAGACCGCCGGGGAACTTCACACCAGAATCGGAGAACACAGGAGGAAAATAAACAGGCCGTCGAGAAACGCAGATGAATGTCGAGCGTTCCTGAAAGACTCGGCAATCGCGGAATGTGCACTGTACACGGGATACGAAATAGGTTTAGTAAGTGTTGAGGTTTTGAGGCGAGGATTACAGTCCACGTCACAGAGACTGATGGCCGAGTTGGTAAAAATCGCCAAGCGTCCGTGTTAGCAGAACCGAAAGCATGTAACTAGGAAACTTGCAGAGGACGGTCTTGGATAAGTCGAGCTAACACAGGTTGGTGTGAGGTAATCAGAAACGGGAGTTTTCATTATTTGAATTCCAATTACCCTCACCCACCTTCCCTCTTCTCAACTAAATTGCTGCAACACTCACAGACCCCCAAAGACCAACGAAATCTACCAGTGGCATCCGCGGTGAACCAGTTGAAGCACCCTGAATTGGAAGATTAAGGAACCAAACCCGATCAAAACTACTTTGAAACTCACCCAACCCATCAGTGCAAGGTTATGGCGACCTCACGAACTAACAAGAGATGTTAAGTGAATCTCATCAGTGATCTAGTTAGCTAATATGAAGACGTCTCAGTGATTGGTTCTGTTTGCCGTTAAACCTGTCCAATTTAGTGACCTGCTCGCTTGGCCTGATGAAGCTTTTGCGTCAAAAGCGAAACGCTGCTAAATTAGAGACTACCGACTGTTTACCAAACCATTCTGAAACGATGATTTCTCAGTCGGTTCCAAACTCTTTCTAATTGATGGAAAATCGATTTCGATATACCACTTGATCGAATTCTTTGTGGTAACCTCAACACACCTTTTGAAGAAAATCGTAAGCTATCCACCAACTGTGCATGGGTGTCAACTAAGCAGAAGGGGTTATTCCAAAATGTTCGTACAAAACTAGTGAGCAAGCGTCCACTTTAACGCAGGGGAAACTAGCAGTGCCTGTCTCACTGTGATAAGCAGGAGGAAAGGCGTTTTCGGTGGCTTGGAATATCTAACAAGCTGTCTGTCTCATAATTGTGGCAACCTGATATTCACTTTTCGAAAAGTGTGTATCGATTCCCACCGTCTTCTTGATTCCCCTACTTGGTTGTAGGATCTTAATATCCTTGACTTTCCCCTTACTCGTACATCTTAGTGGCAATACTGTCACAACCCATTATTCAGTTATTACGTAACTTCTAAGAGCCTCCTTGTCCATCATTAGGTCAGGGCTGTATCTTTGAATCGTGCAGGGATTAAGCCCTTTAGATGGCTTTGGCACCCTGTCGAGGAACTTAATCGGCTTATTTATATAGTCCAATGCAAATAGGAGAAAATGTCCTATATGGGCGTCCGAAAGGGTTCTGTGTGCCATCGTCTGCTGGCTGAAGTAAGGCAGTGAAAACTATATCTTATGTTATGCAACCAAATTGGCTCCCGATGACTCGTGACGTGATTGTTTGCCCACATGTACTACAGGGACCGGTTATCCTGTATTTTGATGAACCCTTGACCGAATCGACATAGTATCTGTCTATCCTGCCATTTCCGCCCAATACAGACGCTAAAATTTCCGTCGACTCTTCCGTGCAACCGGACAAACGCTGTGTCGATGAGCCAGCATGGAGTCATGAATTATCAGAATCGGAATGGGAACGTCAAGTGATGCGACGTTGCGTGCGGTTCGAGTTGATGTCATTACGTGATCTGCTCAGTGAAGTTCGAGCGTCCAAAATGGTCAGTCCAGATGACCTATTAGATGCGATTAGTCTGCAAGCCAAAACAATGGACGAACTGCCACATCGTGGCTGGTCTCGTAAGTCATTTTGTTTGCGCTTTGTTTCCGACCAGATCGGCGTTACTGCTGTTTTTTGTTCCTTATGCGGTCCTGCAGCTACGATGCTCGTTGCATCGGGGATTTTGCATTGTGTCCCCAGTTGTTAGTCGGGGCCTTCAGAGTCAAAAATTAACAAGCCAACAACTTTTGTCTATGTCATGAGAAAGTGCATCCATTTGGTCGCTCTCGACAATCGCTTCACAGGTATTCTGAAGTATAGGGATGACTGCCAAGCTCGGCGAACAGACCAACAACCAAACGGCGCACCCGAGCTACCTACATTCCACAACATTGCTAATAGGCATGGCAACTTAAGGTCGAAAGTGGTCCACCTATCTCAAAGGAGTCGGTGGCCTCTCACCTGCGACAAGATTCGCCTGTTTTTCATATCTCATCTCCTTTTTAGACGCTTATTGCTCGTAACTAAGGCATCTTATCTAAAACAGTCCTTCTCAAACTGTTGGCATGCCTGTCGGATTGTGTTCAATCCCTTTCGATTCTACAGTGTACTACTACAAGAGATGTTGGTTGCGTATTTCAGCCCCCCCAGTTTGTTCTTGGTAGTCGCTAGCTATCCGATAAGTTCAACCGTTTGATTTCACTTCTTAACATTACGCTGAGAGACGTCAGGTTGATCTACAGTGCCTCTGGGTGAAACCGTCAGACTGATGTGCCTTGGGCCACAATATCGAATCTATGGCGTCCCCACTGTGGTTCCAGGCCTCATTACATGCATGTCCGAATCATATTCCATGAACACTTTATTTTATCATTCTTTCCAATCCTTATTTCAGTTCCCGGCATCAATTTGGCGTCACCGCGGTTCGCAGCATCCCTTGTCGCAGGAGAAGAGGGCAGTTATCCGTACTTCTTTGTTGACGATGCGGATGATGCGGATGATTTAGCGGAGTTGCAATTCACGCTAGGAGCGTTGGAAGCCGGCGGTTCGGACTGGAATGTTATGGATATGGATAATATGGACGAAGATGTTGATGAGACCAGTGAGTCTGATTCTCGTTCGGACATGAACGTGGGATCCGTTTCGCGTAGTGGCGATGGAGATGTGCCGGTCGGCTCATTGGGTAGCCACGCTGTTCCTGCCCCCCAGGGTGAAGCCAGCTCAGTCCCCAACGAACTCACAGAAAGTGGTAAGATTGGAGGACTAGGGGCGAGCTTCCTGGTGGTGATTTTGTCATATTTGGTTGTTAGTCCAACTTACAGTGGAAATGCTACGAGCATCACAAGTCCGTTTTTCGCAGCGGATATTTTCTTTTTTTTTGTTGCACCTACATTTCGTTGCATTCATCTTAGTAGCCCATCAATCAGGCTATCCGAACAATTTTGGAATGATCAGCTTGCCATTTTGAAGCGTTCCTTGACAAAGGATGCCTGTCCACTTAGTTGAGCATTTTGTTGATTAACGGAGCTTTGGTTGTGCTCCATGTCGATTGAGTTGTTTACACATTGGCTGCATGTTGGATGCTTCGAGATGAAAAGCAGTGAGTGCAGTGCAACAGTCAATGTTCCAAGTAGTCCGTTTGTTTTGTTCTGTTTGTCTTTACACCAACAACCTGATACTTTTGCCGACGTACTAATGCTGATGGCCCTGCGATTGGTTGTCACTACCGTAGTTCAAATGAGATTCCAAGCTCAATTGGACGTAGTTATTAACTGGTGCTGAGGACGTTCATTTCTTTAATGTTTCGAAACATCTCCCTCACTTCAGGCAAGCATATCGTCGCTCACAGTTAACGACATTTGTCTTCCATGATGCACTGATGTGAGGCACCTTAAGGTTGCCCTCAGTTAATCACCGTGCGCCTAAACTTGTAGGCTATTGATGCAGTCGGACTAAATGCATTATCTGCCCCCTAAACTCTCCTTCGCCAATCCGCTATTGTATATGTTCCTCATTCTGTTTACTGTTTCCCTAAGTTTTCAGAAAACAGATCACTGCTTCATAGTTGGCCACTGAAGTACACTCCAAGTGTAGTATAATCTCTAACAGTCTTACATAGCAGGCAGTTTGATATTTGTAACAACTCTACTCAGAAAATACGATGTGACGACCGACCGGCTCGTCAGCCAGTTTGACATCAAATCCAGTTCTTGCACGAATTTTCGCCTACGAGAACCACCGCTTACCGGAATCTTGTGATTCCGTACACGGTCCGGTGTGTCGATAGTCCTGATTTATTCCCTGATGCATTGTTATCACGCCATCTAGCTTAGTTTACCTATATCGGACTGTTTCTATTACTTTACTGAGCAGTGCCTAGTTTTTCATCATGCGCAGTTTTGTACGCGGAAAACTCACCTTGAAGTGCATAAGACTCTACCGATGGATATGAGGATGATGATTTGCTCTACAACCTTTGTAACGTCCGAGAAACTTATGACTGGTCCTCCTCGAAGTGACTGCTGGTACTCGCTTCCTTCCGAGTGCACCGTTATAGATGGGGCCGATGATGCATTCCCCCCTCTTTTTAACGTATCTTTATCTTTTCTCATACGTCGAGCTTCGCAGTAGCTGAAACACAGACTCCAGGAGTTTGCGGTAGAACCTGGTTGCTTCTCACCTACATCTTTGGGATCGTGGAATCTTATCAGATCTATGAACTGCTCATTGCCGTTTGTGTGGTTGACTGAGATAAGCGTGTGGTTGTCAGTGATCTGTAGTTATGCTAAACCTGTTCACCCACTGTCACTATTCGCTCATCCGCATAACCGCAGTGTTTGGTCTACACCATGATCCTGCGAGTGTACCATCTGAATTCTAAGCACAAAATGTGCACTATCCCTACCGCAAAGTTGCAGTAGCAACAAACTCGTTAGTGTGGGTCGTGCATGAACTTGCAAAATGAATAACTTTCTCACTCTGTTCTGGTGACGGAAAAGCGTACGAAATGTGTTTGAACCATTACTAGATCAAACTCCTACCATGGAGTAGAATCAAAGTTCCGCGGACGCGACAAAGTCCGTCTAGTTTCTAAAATATCTTGACTTTACTTAGGCCTCACGTGGTCGATCCAATTATTCATTGACTGGCAATCTACGGGATGTTATAAACCGGCTGAATAATTTTCGCTCTTCACGCGTAGAGAAAAAGCTTTACAAAAACAGTCAGGGTTGAATGATCTTGATCCATCCCGTCATTTGAATGTGTTCCAATTATTGTCGTACCGTCGCATCACACATGGCTGATATACCGGTCATTCCTGTTCACTTTTTCAGGCGACCGAGATGACCCTTCTCAACAGGAACGATTGAATCGTATTCCTCGTAACGTGGGTGGTGGCACTCGATCAATCCAGGGCGCATCGGTTTCCAGGCCACCCAATCAATTCGCAAGTCCGGATTGGATCCAAACCCAGTCGAATCTGGCTGGGGCACGTCTGGCTGATTTCAACCAGTATCGAAGCCTGGGCACCGATTATCAACATCTCTTCATCAACCATCAAGGCTGTCTCGTTCCTCGTGCGGGGTCTTCGAGTGCAGCTCAGCAAAATGCGTCTTCCGCCGCTGTCGCTATCCCTTCCGTGCACGGACTGCAACACCATATGCCTGCAGAGCGTTCGGTGCGTTGGCTACAGCCGTCCAACCCACGGACTGGTCGGCGCATTGCTCCTCATCCACCTCCGCCACCACATTCTGAACACGATGTAGTTAGACACTCACTTGACGATCCGGATGCCCACATTGTTATTCGCCTTGGCAAACCAAGTATCGTCAACACTATTCGAATGCAACTATGGGATCGCGAAGTTCGGTTAGTGTTTTGTCACGTCCTGTGCATCTCTGTATGACAGATCGTAGGAGTAGATCGGTGGTGGATTTCTTCACCCCATTTTTGCCTGACCTTTGCAAATTTTTGACGCAGGGCTATGAATTTCAGCGGTGAATTACTAGTAGTACTGGATGTCCTTGTGCATTTACAGTCAAAATATATTCGGTTCGCTCGCGAACTATGGGTCGATTACCGATGCTTTTTCGGTTGAACCTAAGCAGGCATATAGCAACGATTGTCATTGCGATTCCGTTGTCTGCTAAATAATGTTTGGAATTGCGGGTTTTCCTTCTCGATACCCTCCTTGTATTGCAATAGTGGAAAAATTACATTAAAACTTAGCAGAATATGAAAGGTTGTGCAACGGAGGGAGACTTATGCTAGCTTGTATGTGGTTAGGCCTGAGGAAACTTTAGATTGGTTAGATGGTAGCGGTTCAATGTAGGATACTTTAGTGTCATCCATTTTATAAATTTGTGGAGGTCTTTCCATTCTGTCTCCCCAGATAGTGTCAATAAGACGTGCAAAAGCACGGTTAGGTACGGGTTCATTCCGAAAAGAATACGGCTTCTTATCTTCAAACTCATTCAACTATTTCTCTTACTTGACCGAACACAATACTGATCTTTGGGCATGTTTCGCTGGGAATGAGGTATGGGCTTCCGTGTTCGGTGCAACCATCTCTCCGCGGGTGCTTGTTACGGTGTGAGGCAGTATTGACTAAGTGTACTGACAGGTACCCCTCTACGCCATCTGTTTCAGGGGACTGTGTCAGCCATCGTCGTGATACATCTATGTTAAGCGTTATCCTAAGAACACCAGTTCCACGTTCTTAGTTACACTATTTGTACCAGATTTAGGAAACCACCTCTTTTTCATTCAGGGTTCCGTGAATCATCAAGTGTCACCGCCCTCTCCTTCCCCAAATGGTGCACCTGTTTATACAGCCTCAGGTTTTGTAGGGTCGGTTGCCTATATGATTCAACTGAGATCAGTCAGTCCAAATTCGTTTTTTGTCCGAAGGGACAACTGGACGGCACCCAACAAGAGTAATCCATTTGCAAGTTCACCATTTCCATTATTTAGAAAATCCTGCAGTCCGTATGTGATATGGTGCACTTCCGGCCATCAGACTTGCACTTAGTTCACTTAACCGTAGTCACTGACAAGTGATTATCCACCTCCAACACCGTCTTTTTTTATCCAATTTGAAGCTGTTATTCGTACTACGTTGAAGTTTCACTGGACCAGGTCACTTGGCACCGTGTCGTAGACTACCGAACCTACCTTTGTCGGTCTTGGCAGACACTGCATTTTCCTACACGCGTCGTACACTACTTTCGAATCACCGGTACACGGAATACATCCAATCGAACATTCCACCTAATCACCTTCCGATGTCTCTACACCGACCATGTGTGTCGGCAGGTGGATGGGTTTTTGGTACGGCTCTACTTGTTCTGTTAACCGTTACGCTCATCCTTGTTCTCTTTTGTTCGCTTTGCCTACCCCGCAATAATGTACAGTTTTTGGTTCCTCTCCACCATGTTTCTCTGAAGCCTGATCCTCTTCGTGGCGCAAATGGGATACAGGGGACAGACTATAATTCGCTGCAACTCGCCTATCAGTATCCGGAGTATGATAGTGATCTCTCGGAAACTGCAGTGTTTTCAAGATGACCACATTGTTGGTATAAGTGTCTATGCTTGGTGCGTTTTTTGTAGCTTCTTGGTGTAGGTACTGTGTTTAAGTGAGTGATCTTCCAAGGTCGGCAAATGCGCCGAATTAGGAAACGATGTTTAGTAAACTAGATATCTCACTCTACCATAAAGTTTGATTAACTTAGAGCAAAAGAATGGTGTGGATATTTCTGTAGCCAGAATAATGTGTGGAATTTTTTATAGCCCACAGTACACTCGTTGACGCAAAGTTCGCAGAAGGCTTGCTCCGGATTGAGATGAAGCGCTACATTTTGTTAGGTGTTTCGATGGTCACCTATGTTCTGACAGCAGAGTGATGGTTTATGGAGTTCGTTGTGTTCCCGGTAGTGCTAGCGCAAAAAATTGTTCAGCTGCAACACCTTTTCGGCGCCTAGCTACTATGCCACCCGGAGGAGGCACGAGGGTTGGGAGACTTCCAGGTTTACCAAGTATAGACAGGGGAAGTCGGGCTGAAGAGGTCGGACCTTCCGATCAGTAATTTCGCGCTTTAACCACTGAGCCATCTCGCCCTGAAATGAATGGAAGAAATGAGGTATTTTCAGTTTGTCCAAAAACGTCGGTGTGACCGATAACAGACTAACTCTATTACCTCCTTGACTTAACAAAGTGAACATTTTTCAGGCGGAATTCTTGTTGGGCCGTGCAGTTACGGCATCATTCTGAAGTAGCGACTAATATTTTCAATGATATTCGACGATATATCCAGTGAGTATTAGGTTCCAAAAATAGGAGGCTTGCTTGAAAAAGCGAAGCAAATAAATCTTGTGGTGCTTCAATACCTATGCTTCCGTTCGCATAGTGGCAAAACTTGTCGGTTGGTCATTGTGATTTTCTTCACTATTGTTGAAAAGCAAGACGAGAATGTCACTTCCCAGCTGGTGTGCCTGGCAAAATGTGTATCGTCCGCTAGACCCGTGTTTGACGAGGCTTACGGAGAACGCCAGGTCAATCTCGCCAATGATGTCTCACTCCAACACTGTGCTTAGGGTCCCTTGCTTAGTTTTAGTCAACTATGGTGTCATTGCACCCCTTCTCCAGAGCTATACAAACTTTTCAACTGTCTGTTTTCCCCTTCTAGTTAGAGGCCTAGTGGTATTGGGGACTCCTCGGGAAACCGGGGTTAAGACGCAATTTGCTGATAGGAAAATTCGTGTTTTAGGTTCATCTGTAACTTGCATGTGTTTATGTTCGAGAAGTTCAGCAGCAAATCAGTCTGATTTTCCTATGGGTCGAGTAATAAACATCAGCTGAGGCGAGTCCAATGTGAAGGTAGCGCTTTTGTCAAATCGTTTATTCATGGGTGAGGATCCTCCAACCATTCAATTTCACGGACACTGCCAGTCGTGCTGTTGTTACCACCGTTGTTGGTCTTCTCGGACGCATGAATCCACATGAACACCACACTAACTACTAGTTTCCAACTACACAATCCTAATTACCCTCTACACTTGTGTTCATAGGTTAGGTAAGATCTGTGATTTATTTTCCTCATGTCACCTCAAGGTAGTCATGGTTGCCAGCTCTCTTCAGTCTGACTTGATTTATGCTTCTGGGTTTTCAACGGATATTCCGGAAATCAGTACTGACTACTAAGAGGAGGTAGCCATCATGCGGTGCCCTATACTTCACCCATGGTCGAACCCGCAGTTCAGACCCTTTCTACTAATACCAGAAAGAGGCAAGGTTCGTCACTGAGCTCGAGATAGCTCTGTGGTTAGGGCTTAAACTTACCGGAAGTTACGTGGATTGAACCCAACATCTGCATCTCGATTTCTCCTATCTGGACTTTGGTAACCTGGCGGTGTTTCAGCCCTTGTCCTTTCTTCGGCTGACGAAGTAGCCAGGCACCTAAAGGTTGTTGCAACTGAACGATATTGCTGTAGGTCGTTTGTTGGTTTTACGGTGCACAACACTCCCAGAAAATATTCAACTTGGTCTCAGATACGTGTGTTGAATTTGAAGCGGTTCAGCTTTCGCAGACTTGATATCTCATGATGACATTTCTACTATTTTCTCCCTGTTCTGTAATTTTTTCTCGAGTGCATAAAATAGACTAGGTGGCCGACAGTACAACCTGCGGTCATTCCTCTAGTGAATCTCACTCGTAGTAGGCTTTCTGTGCAATGAACACTTATTTTTCAGATTTTGAAGACATTTCATCTGCAGAGAGAAGTAGCCAGTCGTGCACTGTTCATACCTAGGTTACTTTGATGGGTTGTCTCGCTTTGAATCAGGTATCCTTTACGACTCAAAACAATGCTCTTCTCTAAGGGATAAGTTCGATTGTTAGATGCACGAATCGATTTGCGTTCTGCTGCACGCTACTGACCATGCCATTGATACCATAATCCCCACAATTCACCACTCTTCATTTTTCCAACGATAGGTACCGACTTACAACGTCGCGAGTGTAGATCAAGGGGCAACTGTGCTTGAGGGAGTCAGTCGCAATCGGAATGCCCTAATCGATGGGAATGCTCGGATGTACGACTGGAACTCCGGTTACACATGCCACCAGCTTGGAAACGGTGCAATTGTTGTCCAGTTATCACAACCTTACTTGATTCGGTCAATGCGGTACGACATTGGTAGTCTTATATTTCATGTCGCTTATACCCTATTCATGATTCCTTTTTACAGTGGGACGATTCTGTAACGCGTAGTGTTGTTTTTTTTCACCGGATTAAGCTTTGCACAAAATTCGATTTCGTCATTTTCCATCACTGATTTTTGATTGATAGCCTTCCGGTCTGACGTAATCCAACATATGGTATAATTAATTGGTCGAATCCGTATTTCTTGGCTCAAACGTGCAGCTCATCATCTAACACTTCGCGATGACCTAGTCGGTGATGCCATTTTGCGTGAGCGTCAGATTAGTGGTTCATCTTTAGCGGAATGTACGGTGCACTCTCTCAAGGCCTCTCTTTCTCCGGAGGTACTCCGCTCTAGATCAGAGAAATATTACTCCCCTTTGTTGTATCCGACATGTGGATCAAAGCATCTGATTCACTTCCCGGAGACTTCCTGTTGGGAGTACAACTGTGTTCCTTTGAGCATGTTATCATCTAATGTGAAGCAAAAGTACGGTACGTCGAACTTCACTTAATTAGAGTGATGTGATTTTTAACACTACTCACTAAATCCCACATTGATATACTGAATCTCCCGGACCTTTGTTCTTTTCAATCAGACAAATGCATATGCTGTTATTCATTTAACCTGCTGAATGTATGGTTTCTCACCGTATCACAGGTCGGATACGCCTGGCAACGGCGTTGAATGGATCAATCCACTTTATTGCTCTCATGGAACAGAAGCATACATGAACTATGTTGATAAACTTGGCGGTAGCACACACATACTGCATGCCATACATGGTTGTCGATACGTTATCATTTATGTAAAGGTCAGCGGTGGTTTCGATCGAAGTTTGAAGATAGTGCTGATGTAATTGGGTTCCCATAGAGTCACAGAAGTTGTGTTGACGGATGAACGTTTTCCACACTTCTTCGCTCGGTCGGTATAATCACGACGTCATAACATGTGAAATTCAAATTCAAAACGAGATGGACTATCAGCTTCTACATATCGGTTTCCGTTAAGATCTCGTACGCAGTTAGGTTTGTTTTCAACTCATGTACGATTGACTCTCACAGCCGTACACTCTCTGTCGAGGATTTAGATAAACATTCCAACTTTGTATAATCAAACTGAATGATCTATCCGTCTCACTGATTGACCCAGTAGACCCAGCAGCTAAGCTGATTTATTGTTTGCTATGATGTGATTTAAATTGGAGCGAGGTGCCATGATGAGAGGCTCGTAGTAACCTAGTTAACGGGAGCGTGTTGCGTCAACGGTATATCCCAGAGCCGTGATTTAAAGGCTGATCCGTCGAGTGTAAGACGAGTTACAGTGGTCCAGATGGTCGCGCGAGTGTACGCTCCACCTGTTTGTGCTTGTCAGGGGTTGAAAAGATGTATGAATGCTTTGCGAATCACTTGAGTCAACCGTTATTAGATTACCGGATGTCTTTACCCAAATGGTTCATGTATAAATGGTGGGGTAGAGACCACGAAACCGAATGTCGTTAAACGTGATAATGTTTTGAGTACAGCGCAGTAATGTGGTTTTCTTCGTATCCTCATAACAGTTCATAAAATCCACAGGTCCTCTAGACCCTAAAGTACTCAAAATCTTGGGGGAAAACGCTGTTGCCTCCTGGATACTTTCGATTAGACTTTTAATATTCGCAACCAGTTTTTCTAGAATGCTGTCACCCTGGTTCACCACTCATCATCATCATCATCGTCATCGACAGCATGACCTCAGTGTTCACCACGGACGTCACCACTGACCACTCTTCCAAATAGGTTTCTGAACTCCCTATGGTTGGTTCCCTACCTGGACATTTCGGCTATGAAATAATTTGTGGATTTTTTTTAGGTAGTTTTATCCGTTACTGCTGCGTGCTATTCATCGTCCTCCTTATTGAAGGGCTTCCCGACATTCGGCTTTTCGGCACCTTCATCAGGTTTCAGGGTGTTCTATTTTATTAGACGAATTCTGTGTAGACTCTGCGGTTCTGGACGATGGCATGTGTGTTTGCGCATAGATTTATTCGATCGAGAAAAAAGGTGGCATTGAATAAACTATCCTATCGACCAGTATGAAATAGACTTGGGTACTGTGGACCATGCCAAAATCACATTGGTTTGCTTGCCCTAACGTGTCTCACCACTTCCCTCAGAGTATAGTTTGTGTGAATAGAAACTTCCAAGATGAGTTTTCTTACACATCTATTCCGCATTTGTCTCCCGTTTTCACTTCTCTAGGTTCCTGTTGTGGGATTTAGACGACCGGACCTACAGTTATTCTGTTCATGTGTCCACCAATCGTGAAGATTGGCGACTAGTTCGTGATGCGACACGTGATCGATGCCAGTCGTGGCAAATCATCACCTTCCCCCCACAGTTGGTTACCTTCATTCGTGTCGTCGGTACACATAATACAGCGAATGAAGTACGTTAGTGCGTTTAAATTTTTGTGTAATTTTTTCCCATTAATGATGTCCGATTTTTTACTTCGACATTTTATGTCACTCAGTCGGTCTGGTATCTGGTATTTATTGTCCGGCTGATCCCACAGAACACGGTAGTATCCCCAGACTAGACTGCATCTCAATATCATCGGCTTATCGGTCATCAGTGGACGCATAGGCCTCTATCAGTGAATAAATTCATTTTGAAATATCTGCCTCAGGTTTTCGAGGGTGTCAGGTAGCCACTGTGACTGTCCACATTGACTACCGGATAGACCTGCATGAATCCAGCTAACTTGAGTATGTCGTACGGGTATGATCTGGGCTTGGCTTTGGCGTGATACCACCTATCAATCTGCCCACCATTAAGTGGTTCTGCTTTGGCTCGACACACAAATGGAGCTAACCCATTAGGTTTTCGGGGTCTAAAAAGATGTCAACTTTGGCTTTGTTACTGCTGTCGGATGAAGTGGTACACTGCATGAATAGCTAGTATGCGAATCTGTTTCTCAGGTGGAACCATTTCACTTCCTGGAACGGTTCCCTAGCGTCCTTTTGGTTGTCAGTGCAGTCATCACTGGCAGTAGCGCCTGTGCCGAACACTCTCTTCTTGCCATTGTACATTCGCATTATTTTTTTCGGTAAGGATAACGGCGGAATAAAACACTGTGCTAGCCTGCCACAAGCTTTCCCGAGGTTCCCACATTCAGGAAGGTTATCAATAGAATACGCTGACATGCGTATCCCGCAGCTTCACCGTTCATAAACCCAGTAGGAATGTAAATCCATTTCTGGGATGTGATTAACACTGGCTACACGTAAACCTTTTGTAACCTCTTCGGTTTCAGTATCTTAGCTCTTTAAGATTCCAATTTGCTCTCTCCTTATTCGGCTTGGAAACCTATACATATTTAGTCGCGGCAAGACATCAATTGGTGCTGGCAATCAATTGTAAACACACGCCTTCAAACGATCCCTCACCATCATCATTGTCATTGTCAGCTGTAAGAGCTTGTGTCTGCTTGTGTCTGCCACAGTTTCATTCATCGATGGTTTGGGGAGGTGAGGTAGATAGCTGCGCATCGGAGGCGGGAGCTGATAAATTCATGCGAACCGAAGGCAGTCTATCCGACGGGTAATACTGGGAGAATATGCTGTTTTATTGTCCGCTGAGCACGCACGGTCATGAATAAAAGCAGGACATCCATAAAAAGCCACCCTACGATGTCAGTTGTGTGCACCGTAAAGTAATCTGGTACACGAGACTCGGGTGAAAGAGTTCAAATGCCACCGGTGTCTTGCTGCACTGTGATGAATTTGAGTGTCTTACATGTTGAGTTCCTAACCTAAAGTGATTCCGACTATTATTTTAGTTATTACCACTACTACTCTCATGCATTGTTCGGGCTCGGTTTACTCTTTTTCTTGTTCCCTCTGTCAAGGGTAAATACGGCTTTTCTACCCTGTCAGACATTGGAACCTTCATTATATCAACCTTGTTTCCTCACACCCCTATTATCCTCCTCACCAGGTTTTCCATCTTGTCCATCTCGAATGTCCGTACCCACCAGCGGAACTAATGGAGGAACAAGAACAGTTTTCTAAAATCGATACTGTTGCGATCACAAACACACAGTCTTTGAACTTGAATCCAGAACCTGCCGGTGCAAGTACTAGTATGGTCACTAGTGGCAGTGAGCCAAGCGAACCTAACTCGACTTCTGAAAACCCGTCATATCAGGCAACTCAGGCAACAGAGTTGTTGGATAGTGCCAGCGTTCTGGATCCTATCGCCGATCTGGTTTTCGCCGGTGAGCTGGAAACTCGAACACACTCTTCCCCTACCCCTCTAGATCCACCCGACGAAACAGTCGAGGCTGCTGCCACAATTCCGGCCACTCGATCTCTCACCCAACTACCCATAGACTCAAGTCTGGGTGCAGGTATGGAATCGGGACACGATATGCTGTTGGACAGTGGTGCAGCAATGTCTGCGACGAATTTGAGCTTGAACCGGGCGTCAAGTCATGATTTGTCTGGCCTACCTGGGCATCCTTCTGCTTCTGGGTTCCGTGGAAGGAACCGCTTAGTAACCCAAACTCCCTCGCCACGAAACAATGCCGCACCTAATTCAAGAAATTAGTGTTACCGCCGTCTACTAGCAGAATTAGACCGTTACCGCAACTGGTCAACTCCTGAACCCCCCTGACCTTGTTTGCACCACCCCATGGCTTTGTTGTGTGAAATAGGAGTCACCAATTATCTTTCTTTTTGTGATGTATATCCCTTATATTTCGTGTCTACTTCAGTCCGTGTATGTTTTTATTTTTCCGTAATTATTCCTACCTTCTTCTCTTTGTCAAATCTATGCTTTTCGGTCACAGATGAGTTGTTGTCCCTCTACTTCGCTGATTCGGCCTGTTGCGAATCCACTCACTCAGCACACGGTTCAGATTCATTTCCATAAATATACATCAATATTTGTTTGCAGCGCTTTTGCTGCTCAACTGTGCTAACCGTCATGTGTTTCTCTTGGACCAACGTTGCGGTTGACCTAATGTACGGCCCAGTGAATGTTCGGGTTCTCTCTGTGAATCTTACTTTCTCTTGCGCGCACTGTTCTGTACAATGTGCTTGAAAAGTTTTGAACAAATTGACTGGGATAAGCTGGATGTTCATACCCCAAATTGAAGCAAAAATAACAGTTGTTTGTCAAAAATCAGCAGACACGAGGACCTTTCAAAATGGTTGCAATTGCTTGTTGTCACCATTCACATATCGGGGAAATCCGTGCACAGGGAGCGCTCAGAAGTTGTAGCGGTCACTTTGTTGTTCCTTCGCTTAATTCGTCTAGTACATCCGTGCTTACTAGATCACTCGACTCCTTTGTTCCGTAAACACTCAAATCACGTGACGATATCCTGTCCAGCTTGGAATTCAAACTGACAACAAGTCAGTTCCCGTTTTATATGGCCAGCTCCTTAAGCAGATGGACTCGCCCAAAACAAAAGGTAGATTGCCGAAGGGCTTTAAATACGACAAATGTGAGCATAGTTAGCGGTTTGCTATGTCCATAACAATTAACCTTTGATTCTTGGCCGGCAATTGGTGATGTGTAGATCAAGTGTGCGACAGGTCGCCGGTGAATAGCTTCAATGTGGATGAAATACAGGCATCGGGAAAAAGTGCATAATCAAACCCCGAAAGGCTAACTTCACTGAGAATTTATACGCAAGTTGCACGCGGTTTTTTTTGTGCTTATCAAGGTCCAGAAGGGTGCGTTTGATTTACTGCCGTACATTTTGGGTTGTAATTTACGAACATCCTGACAAGTTCTGCTGGTTGATTGATCTGATGGTTGCCAGTGCCCTAGTTGCCTACAACAGCCATCCTATAACGGGTGACCCCGCTTAGCCCAACAGTTTTCCTGCAGGAACTACTTTCAAAGAACCAGTAATCGTAAAACACCCAAAATGTAAAACGGTCCATCAGGAATATGTACTCCTCAGTGTGAACTTTTTTCCCACTAATATTTGTAGTCTTCGCATTATTAATTGTACTTCGGTGGAAGAACACCTGGTTAGCCGAAGGTGGCCAAGCAAAACCGCAGGGAACCAGCAGATCACAGCGGAACTGTCATACTGACGACATCCGGCAGCATAACAGTGTTTAACCGCTGTGCTTTGCTGACCTACGCACATCCAATGGGTACGTTCGTAGTGACCTGCGGAACCGGATGTACTTGACAAGCGCATCCAGGTTATGGACAGCATGAGTGACAAGGGCTTATTTGATTAAAGGAGCCCTATTACGACATAGGCTCACTCTGGATTTCGAGGACGCCGATAGGATCTCGGTTGACGAGAAGCCATTAGAACTTGTGTTACCGAATCCCATATTCAGTTTTGGACCGACCAGCGAAACGTTCGTACTCCTTCAACACACAATACCTCCAGCAACCAATGGAACGAAGGATATTAAAATACATTGCCAGCTGACCTTGGCTCTCTTAAGTTTTCATCTGCTGCACGTCATACTTGAAGATCATATCTAACGCATTTCTGTGTGCACTTATACTGGTTCCTCGGGTTCCCGCTCATACGACGCGGCGGTCAGTATTTCGAACAAATTGTCTTCTATGGAGAGAATTATGTTTATTAGCGAGATTTGTCAGTCCCGTCGTACAAGGTCGGCTTAATTTGGATCCCCAAGAAAGTCTATTAACGTTTTACTTGGCAAAGCTTGTGCTAAATAACATTTTCGGCTTGCGCGCAAATCCTCACGGTATAGTGCGCGTATGTGTCGAGTTATCATGTTTGTTAGTTCATATGTTTTTATTCACTACATTTACGTTTGATCAGTTCTTCCTTGGGACAGTTATTCTGACCTGTTCACACCAGTCAAGTTGGTGACTTATTCCTGTCACAGTTATCTTCCAGGCGTTTATAACCTGTTATACAGGGACAACAAAAGTCCCTGATGAACCTGATTTTTGCTCGCCACTCACAAACAATTCAGGTCATAAGGCGGATAAATACCTCAAGTTCCCTTATTTTAACCCACACCTCTAGTTCCTCAGGGATATAAACCAAACTTCAGCCTTTGCTTGGTTGTTACGTACGTCTGTTTAAGGCACAAACGGGTGTTCTTTCTGAGTTACTCTTTTCAACCACAGGTTGATTTAAACCATCCTGGATGACTGCATGGCTCCTTACCCCCAAGGCACAACAGAACTTGAATCCCAGGTAATGCACACTATGGTCTCAAGTTTGTTATAATATATAGTAATTGTCAGGACAAAGAACGATCAATGACGCTAGGAAGCAAGGAATGCGAACTTCACAATGGGAACTCACAGAGTATAAAAGTGACCGGGTGGAGCAAGATTGCTGTAGGCAAAACAGGGGAACAAAAGTGAACTGCGCTGCAAGCAGTGGTTCTTCTAAGGTTTGTGGCAGTTGAAACATCCGTTGAATTCTGGCTTATATTATCCGAATTCACAGAAGGTCAAGATGTCATTATACCACTCACTAGTAACTCGTGAACGGTTTGGAAATTTTTGCACACACTAGCCACCCCCAAACGGAAAATAGATTGGCGATATTCATCGGCTTCAAAAGTAAATATGGCTCGGGGTGTTGACCGAAACAGGTCCTTGCTGTCCACCGCTTGATTGCCTTTGATTGATTGTTCTCCTTCCGTGTGTTGCAGGATCAAAATAGTCCACGACCGAAGAGTGCTAAGGCAACTCACCAGCTGTTTATTTGGATGGATTTTTCGCATTGAAAACACACCGCTTTTGGCGACACTGTAAACTTGCAGCACCGTTTGGTTCGCTGGACGCTCCAGGACATATATCGTTTGGCTACACTGGGTGCTTAGCCTTTCGACTAATTGTGCATGCTCATCGATTCTCCACGGACATTTCATATCTTTCGGTTGCGTAAGGAATTGATTTTTGGCACAGTTTGGGTCGAAAAGCTCATCACAGGTTGGTAGCATAGTGGAAACGTGCGTCTTCCAATGTGCTGCAGATGTCACAGGCTCTACAGTGATGCTCATGGGATGGGAAAGGAACATATTTGCTGTGAGAGTGTAGTCAAGCTTCAGGCATTCTGGATCTTCATTCAGGTTGCTTTGTTTGCGGAAAAGCGTAAATCGTGCCCGATTTCCTTCGGTAGCGTTAAGCAGCCCGGAAAGGGGTGGTGATTCTGATGACAGTTTGTTGATTTGGCTCATTTCCCATCCGGTTTGGTGTTTCACGATCAGCTGTACGGCTTGTGATGTCTGGTTATGTAAGCATATTGTTACCTGTGCACTCAGTTGATCATTAAGTGGATCCCTTCCTGAATCCACTGTCAACGTGACGTTTCGTGTTTTTTCTTCAACTGGAGATTCCGAAGGAGACCAGTAGACATGTGTCAGACTGGCGAAAACACACTGAGCTGTGTTTTGATGTGGGATAACTGTGAGGTTTACAAATCTGATACGGTCGTCTGACTCATCTACCATTTTGACGCTCCCAAAGTTGATGTCGTTAGGTTGATCGAAAGTCCGTGTCACCTCTGACCCCCATTCAGTTCGGAACGAAGCTTTCGGTTTTTTACTTGTTGACTTGCTTTGTCTGTTCAGGTGTTGAGCAAAGGTAAAAATTTGCAACGCAACGATGTAAGACTCCAGTGGATTGTGAACAGTACCAAAAACGGGCAAGTGCTTTACTTGCCATCGTATGATGGGGATGAGTTCTGCGAATTTCTCACCGGTTTTATACAACGCCATGTACGCGTGATAAGTAACTTCAGTAGGATTTGCGCGCTCGCCTGGCAGATATTTTGTCGCCTCTTCAACTGAATCTTCCCAGTGTAGTTCTTGTCCAAATTTTGACTGGGTTCGAATCTGTCGTTCACGGATCAGTTGAATAACTTTTTTTAAGGATTTCAAATCAGGATCTATCAGGGACAACGCGTAGGCCAAGGTGGTGAGAGTAGACGTTTTCAGCTGACTTATTTGTGGTCTAGTTCTTTGTAGATCTCGATGGGCATAAAGCGCGAGACATACTTCCAACCGACGGATGGTTTTCCACATTTCTTTGTTTTCTTTCATAAAGACTGTTTTTTCCAGCTGACTCTCTTCCGCTGCAATGTACCACTGGGAGAAGAATGATAATTTTGTTTCGTTGTTAGAAAGTACATCGGATTTGTGGCAATTAGGTACTGGGTAGGCTGAGTGAAACTCATAAAATAGTTCAGTAATGTCTGATCTCATGTAGTTTCTTGCCTCTGTAATCCATTGAAGTTGGATTCGTTCTATATGAGCCAGGGTGCGATAGATTAATAAATTAAGCTTCCAATCAACCGTGACACCGTCTTCTGTGTACAGGCTGTAGTTACTCTGTGCACGATAAAACAACCAAGGGACCAGAGCATCCCGTGTATCAAGGCCCTCGGTAATGCTCATTGTCTTACCCAGACCCCGGTACAATCTGAATCGTGACAGTCTGTTCCTAGCCTCTAACAGAGTTCGAGAGGAAGATATTACCATGTTGTGGATGTTTCTTGGTGGGGGTTCTGTGTAGTACGGAGTTAAGTAAGCCAGCGCCTGTCCGACGGTTGACAAGACACACAGGCATTCATAAGCTGAAAGCATAGGCGTTTGGTAAATGTAATCCAAATTTCTCATTATTGAATCAGCCACGTCGCTGCTGAAGCTTAAATATGTACGCCCGGAGGCTGTATGCCGGAATGATGGTTGGTCGTCCACTCGCAGTTCGAATGTTCTCGCCGATTCATTTGAAGCTGGCAAATTGAAACAATTCAGCACATTCACCCGAACTTCAGGATTCTGACCGGAACGAACGCGCAGTAACTTAATAGCATTACGTAAAGGCTTGGGTTGCCTAAGCTCCAAATAGTTGGAGGGATTATGCACGGCCCCACACAGTGAACTCTGAGTGTACAGAAACAACTCTGCCCGAATCAATGTCGTACCGGGAAACCGGGCAGAAACTTGTGTCACGAATGTTTCAACAGTCCGATCACAGACACACCATGAGAATATTTCTGGTCCAGTGATTGAAAGCATTCGGTCATCCACTCTTATCTTTACAACTACTCCTACACAGTCGTATTTTATGATGAAGCTGTGCAGGGACAGAGCAACCTTCAAGGAGGCAGTTTCCAATAGGTCCATTTCCGAGACCCCTATAAGGCGGAACTCGGTATCAATGTCTATTGACATCGGTTCAGAGGTGGAACTCCATACGCCTTTTTCGTCTCCGTAACAGAATGCACTAGCTCGTACATGTTGACCCGTTTCCGGAACATTAAAGTAATACTGGAGCCCCTGATAAGATGTACTTTCATGACCCTCGCTTTCAGAATAAATACGCCGAATTCTTCCAACTTCATAGAGGATACTTTCAGAGTGCCAAACCCTCTGTTCTCTTGGAAGATCCGGAGGCACCGGATCATTCCATGATCTGCATTCTGATCGAGTTTCGTTTACTTCTGCAACTAAGCCCGTTACCTTTAATCCAGCCGATTCGAATTCATAGAAACTACCCGATGACAATGTGGCTTCACGCGACCGCGTTTTCTTTAGGCTATAAGAAAGCTTTTTGTCGTAAGCGCCAGGATTCAGCAAATTTTGGTGAGCAACTTCAGTTAAAATACGCTCGTCCCAGACTCTGACATGACAGACTGCATTCTCGCTCAGAAATGTAGTGTCCGGTTTGACAATGAGCTGTACCGTGGCTCCTGGTATGGCATGATGTCGGTCGAATTTTACTGCAGCTTCTTTAGGACAGTAGCCTGTGTGACGGATTACTCCATGTGTTGCTATGGGTTCCAACGCTCCAGCAACATCACGCCGAAAATAAAACACAACAAATCTCAGCTCATCGTACACCTTGGTTTGGACGTTCACAGTCAAAGTCCTTTGAAAGAGAAACCTTTTTGACTGTTGTGTCGATCTTGGGGACCGCATAACCTCCAAAAACACTTGGACAATTTTCTGCGTGTTGGGCATCTCACAGGGCCATGGAACAGGACCATCTAGTGCTCCACACGTATTGTTCATGCAGTGTAAACACTCATTACACGCCTTACCTGTCCAGCCGTAGCGGCAGCGACATTCATTGGGAATTAAGCAATAACCGGTCTGTGGATGACATGGTTTCGAGCACACTGGTTCCAAGCAGCCGATTCCATGCCAACCGGGTAGACATTCAATCGCGTCATCTTGATCAGCTTCTTCGCTCAAACACACGTAATGTCCTAAAGGTCCATCTTGATCATGACATTGGGAGTCATACTTTAATTGCTCTTCATCACTGAGAAGTTCAAGTTCGACTATTGTCCCTCTAGCATAAGCGAACACAAACCATTGCTTATCGACTAGATGAGTATTTCCAACCACTGTGAAGCGTGCGGTCGATTCACATGTCATCTCGATTGGCTCAGTGGATGAGGGCCAAAGCTGTATGGCTTCATATGTATTGTTGCCAAAGAGAGGATATATGGTGTTCTCAGAAGTGCTGTCAAATCGACCATGCATAAAACGGTTAGGCAGCGACTGGACGAAAATAGGACTGGCAGAGAAGATTGGGGGGAGAATGAAGGAATCGACTAGAAATTCATTCTGTTCTATGATGTGATCGCTGTGTAACACACGTGGAGCGAGACCGCCCAATATATCGCGGTTGGAAACCTTTTTTGGCAAACGGATGTCGGTCCACGGCATCTGTTTGCACTTGTCGTCTATGTAGTAAGTTCTGAGACGCCCCCTGTACTTTGGCAAATGAGCCGACGGATGTTGTCGTACTGAGCCCGAGACAGGGATTCCGTATTTGTAATAAGGTGGAAACATGATTTCACCCTCTGTTCTTGGGCGATCTGACAACACTTGACATAACTGATGAAAACGACCTGTTGGAGCGTCGAAAACGCGAACACATGCAACGAACGGAGCACCCGTGCTCAGAATACCGTGTTCAGAGCGAAAGATACTTGGCAAAAACGAGTGTATTACACAGCCTCTGCCGTCCAATATCAATCCGTCGGCGAATGAGCATGGTCGTCTCACAGCATCGCCCCTATAACATACTCTCTTATCCATCAAAGTCTCTGTTGCTTTAGAATCCAAGACAAACGAAGAGTGATACCAGCCAAATTGCTTCGAATCGGGAGTTAATGATTTGCACTGGCACAAGAGTAATGTTGCTGGACCCTCTGCAGCTCTTCCGTCAGTTTGATTCACACAAACGCCCAGTTTGTACCATTGGTTCTTAACAAAGTCCCACATGATTGGCTCAAATCGAATGGTTGGAACTAGCTCTTGTTCACCCAAAATCAAAATTTTCGCGGACTTTGTTCCATCAGCCATCTGTACGTTGATTGTCCAAGTTCCGTAGGTCGCATTTATGGGAACCTGAACGGAAAGCTTCCTGGCGCTAGAAGCTTGAACATCATTCCATTTTTTGATAACGTTCTCACTGTCATTACTCACTGTGATGGAGAAAATAGGGTCAGGACGTGGTTCCGGCTCAGGCATCAAGCTCCAATGTTTGGGTTGCAAGTGGATCACACTAAACCAAACTGTCTCTCCCGGGCGATAGGTCGATTTATCTGTCTCAATAAAAATCAGATCGCGACTGGTGTCTATGGGCAAGTGACGGTAAAGAGAAACGGGCTTCTTTCCCTGCTCGCCGGTGAACGTAACATGAACTTCCAAGTCAATTGCTCTCATCCCTTCGCGGGGCTGATTCAGCTTGTATGCAATCCGATGGACATCTCCGAAGGGTTCGGACATTACCCAATGACAAAACTTTGCGGATTCTCCACCACACGAAGCTGAAAAAGACATATTCATTTCGTCCGCACCAAAGGCATAGATCCAGCTGGACTGGCCGTCAAGCAGCCTTTCTGGCGTGATTAAGATCACTGGTGATGGCACAACGTCAACCAATGGAGTTGGGTTTTCGGAAGTTGAACACGAGTTCATCAGTAGGATAATGACACACAAAAATGACGGTAAATATGGTAGCATTTTTCGGTATGGACCGTTGACGCTTTCCTTTTTAGTTATCAGCGACATATTTATACCGTTCATTGAATTGCGTAGTTTCTGAAAGTAGACAAGTAACAAGTTGTTTTTTCAGTCTTGGCAACACGAGTCAAATGCATTCCTGCGTGGCCAGTGGTCAGCCTGTTTCTCCAGGGTGCAGGCGCGCTGAAAGAACTCCTGCATCTCATGTCAATACAGTTGCTATCTGGTTTTGCGCTGTGCTTCCGTGCGCCAAATCGGCGCTCTGAAANCAGTCTTGGCAACACGAGTCAAATGCAGTCCTGCGTGGCCAGTGGTCAGCCTGTTTCTCCAGGGTGCAGGCGCGCTGAAAGAACTCCTGCATCTCATGTCAATACAGTTGCTATCTGGTTTTGCGCTGTGCTTCCGTGCGCCAAATCGGCGCTCTGAAAAACGGCACTGAAATAATTTATCAACCTTGATTTCTGAGTGGAACAGACAAACAGCTGCTATGAGCAACCAGTACGCTTTTGCTCCCCAACCTAGTTTGGTCTGACTTGGCTAGCAAAAGAAACCCATGATTGTTATTTGATCTAAGTAGGGCATGTTTAAGTACACGCCTTCTGATGGTTTGTCCATATCCAAAGGAATGATATATTATGACTCCTTACATGAGTGCGAGTCAGTACATCTGTTCGTTGGTCAAAGAAGCCGCTGTTAAGGCGTTCTGTAAAAATTTCCCTATTCCGACTGACGATTCAGCATCCATTAGAAATCCATCCAAAGTTCTGACGATTGGGTGATTACTGCTTGTTCGCTACGTAGTATACAATTCACACACGCTGGAATCCGTGGATGAGGAAGCTATGCCATGATGGACACTGGACCATTTAGCCAGCTAGTTGGCTTCACGCTTCTCGTCCATTCCTATTAAAGCAGTTTACTGGGTACCAAACAAGCATATCGGAAGACAGATGCTCATACAATTTCTTCCTTGATGTGTGTCCATGTTGATAGACACAATAAGTGACCTAGGACAGCAGACGCCCGCAGATCACTTTTGGAGGTGCAGGATGTTTCTTCGTCGAAGAGGAAACACTCCAATTAGGGGGACCAAAATGCAGAATTACTTCTAAAATTTGGACGCAATCGTGGAAATATCCTATGTCAGTGACGCAACCTGGTCATTTGACTGTCATTTGTAATCTGTTCATATCACACACATGGCCGATACGCTGGTATAACATGATGCCGGACTTGATAGCGTAGGTCTGATATAATCGACGAATCAGCTTTGATTACATACACAACACCACTCGTTCAAGCATTTAACAGGTGAAACACGCACGATAACCTGATATTTCACGAGTCCTGACTAAGTGTCATTGCCTTCATCTTAGATGTATGACGTATGCGTGGCGTAGGCTAATACAATTACACCTATCAATCACGTGGCACCAGTATAGGTGAAACATGGTTATGTAAGCGCAATGGACGCCTGAGGAATTCCCTCCATGCTAATGGTTCCTGCATAACGCATCAGCCCTAAAGTGTTTTTATCCCAAAAGTGACTTGGAAGTCCACCAGACTACACTGTGTAGCGTTTTTATTCTTTCCAACTGGTGCTTATGCGGAATCTGGCAAAATGCCACTAAAATGACCGTCTTTTGACTACCGCCCAGTGTTGAAACGATGCATTCTTGTCGTCGGTTGTGCGACAAGCGCGAGTGCACTGCGTTTGCCCTCAAGTGGCATATACCTTTACCATTTGGCTCAATAGAGTGAATCATTAGAGTCCCAAAAATGCTTGGTACGACATTGGTAGTGTTTCGGAAAATCATCGCTAAATTTATACACTGGTTTCTTTGATGGTTTGGGATTCCAGCATATGAATAAACTCAGGATGTGGAAAGCTTTCCCGTGAACTATGAAAAGCCACGCCTGTAACATAAATCTACTGAAACTGTCTGGCACAGTTATGGGTACGTTTACTTTATAATTAAATAAACGCACCCATAACTGCGCCAGACACCATTTTCACTTCTAAGAATCACTGTTCGGATAGCAAACCTAGTAGCTTTGGAAATAAACACGAGCGGAACATGAATAATACGAAATGGTTAACCCTCGGTTGTCAACGGTTAACAAACAATGGAACACCTGTAAAAGCTCTGGCCTATCCTGATTATGGCTACTGTAGGAAAGCGATTCATGTAGTTTATGTACTTGTCAAGTATACCCACCGATTAATAAACATTGGTATATAAGGCTTGTTCATAAATAACTTTTTCCTACCTGATGGTTCATTTGCAAGATCATAGATGTGAAAGTGTCCAAACAATGTGCGGTACGACACTGTCATAAACAGGCGTTCTGAAGCTCATGGAATTCGGCTATTCGCAGACACATCAAATATGTCCCAGCACTAGCTGATGCTGACGTGGATTTTGAAAATTCGATCGATTGGTCTGTGCATATATCTGAACTAACTATNGTCCTGCTGAAATTCGCGGTATTCAAAATCGTTCTGAGATATGGAAGCATCCGCTGGTTCCTCCTGAACGAAGCAATACTTTTTATTCACAGCTCTTTAGGTGGAGAGGAATTTTACAGCTTTGAGTACCAGCTCAAGTCGCATTATGTCTATCATTGATTACAACCTGCTCCAGACTTCCTTATATATATATATGTGCATATATTCATTTTATGTGTGCTAACAAATTATTACTATTGACCTCTTTTCAGCAAAAACAAAGAAGAGCTTACACGCCCGTGATACACTTTGACGAATACGATTGGGGCTAAGTAGGATAGACATTTTTCCGGGACTTCGGGTCGATTCTGTCAATGCATCGCTACAGAGCTGCTAAAGAAATCTCTTTGGAAGTTAATGATGTTGCCATATCTCTATCTGCTACCATATTGGTCACAAGACTTGTTATCGTTAGTTTTCCACTGGATCACAACAGAGGCTTAGGTTTGAAAACTCACTGTATGGATGCGTCACTGCCTATTCTTCTGTCGATCATTAGGTAGAAATTAAATCGTCTTAGTAAGTTTCTCTTCCTGTCGCAGCATGCGACTGGCTTGGTATTATTGCTTCCTAAACGATGTCATATGGCATGTTCTAGTTAAATCTGATGAAAGTCTGGATCTGTAAAAACCCAACGCTGCTGGATTTCCGTTTGCTTGCACCACTTTAGTTACGTAACTGCACGCAGGCTTCACTGCAGTTTGTACACCAGTATACACGGTATGACCCGCTTTCAACGATTATGCAGTTCTTTTAATTCAGCAAGGTGTGAAACGTCTTTGGGCGCGCTACGGGTGCCTTGTTCTGCGTACAATATGTCATCCAGGTTCGCCTCGTAAAAAACAGTTGATGTCCTACATTTCACAGGCGACGAAATGGGCTTTGCAACGGTGCAGCAAGCAATAACACCAGGTTCTAAAAATTGTACCACAACTGGAATTCGACCTTGGACGTGGAATAGTAATTTACATTCGATGCTTAACGTGTTGTGCTAAGTAGTCTGCAGTTAGTGCAGCAAAAAGGGGAAATTTTCCGCCAACAAGTCTTCTTACTTGTAATGAGTCCCACGTGGTGTTCACAAATTGTAACAAAATAACTAGCCTTGTTTAACTCAAGACCTTGACTAATTCTGTTTTCTTTTTGTAGCTGAAAAGCCTTTCGTTTTAAGATTTTAAATTCCTCTTAAGTTTCAAAAGCGACTAATTTTCAGTGTCAAAAACCATCAGAAGTACGCTGCATGCCTTATCAAATAATAGGATTCTGGCCTATTTACTCGGCTACCTGCTACCATTCACCCGAGAATTGGTTGTACACTTGCGTCCACGTAGCATACAGTATCAGGTACTTATCATTCACCCCACTCTGTATCTTACTGTTCTTTTGTGATGAACATAATTGGTGCTCTATTCATTGCTCTATTCGGTATTCTCTTGCTTTATTATTCCAAGTGCTTTACACACGTCAATTTGAGTACATATGTGCCGATTGCCGAATTTCTAGTTCGTGCTGAACTCAATCACTACATTGTTGAAGGTTCCGACTGGCTGGATGTTTTCTGCAAACGTTCCATTCGACGAACCGTTCTGGTGACCCTCTGCGATGACCCTAGCACTGCTCTCCATGACGGATAGGCCGCTCGAATGCACACCGTCAGACCACTCGTTCTCATGGACGATCAGCGAAGTCACGTATGCTCGAACACGGCGTTTACCTCCGACCACTCACATTTCATAGCATTGACGACCACGCAACTAGCCTACACTCACGGGACGCATCGCTTATTAGTTCATGTTCCCCATATTCACTTATGACTGAGTCAGCTCACCGCGATTGTCGATCACCTTTTCTCACCGTCCCCAAACTACTAATGTTTTAGGGCCCAGGTTCAGCATCGCCCAGGGTTCCGTTTTCCAAATACTGTGGCATTGCTATAGTGGCAACTAAATGCAACTACTCTCGATTATCTGATATCCAAGGCCACAGAATAATCCTTATTCATTGGGTAAGTAAGCCATTTACTCCTTTTCCCTCTTGAGTCCCTGCTTAAACTGAGGTTATCTCATTGCTTCGTCTGGAAGCTAACAACTTTGCTTATCAACCACACAGCGCCCTAACTAGACTCAAGAAGACTAAATGTATTACTTGTACACATAATGCCATCCGTGCTAAAGATACTGTCCTGATCCGCCGAACGCAGACCCGAACTACAGGTTTCGGCTCGATCAGCTCTTATACTTTTCATAAGGAACATCTGATTCAACAAAATATCAACACCCACCTGCCCAAATAACCACAATAGAAGGCTGCCGACACTCCTAAAACATGTAAGTTTGCTTGTTCTCAAATATTTCTGGGGGTATAAGCTGTCTTTTATCCCCAGGGTCTACTCAAAGTCACTCAGTACTTTAAGTGACCAAAACTCCCAGTTTACAGCTATCAAGAACATCATTGACGCGAGGTTCAGGTATGATCCAGGTGAGTCTTCCAAAAAACCTAATTAACCTGCAAATCGGTGTAATCCACTATCATGCCTCACGTTTCATACACCTCAGTA